AAAGAAAAAAACAAAGGAACCGACGACTAGCCTACCTTTAGGTCAGTTTAGTACTCTTTAAAAATAAAAAAAAAAAAAAAAGGTAAAAACCGGAAACGGACATGGCCCATCACTAGACCTACCTTTGGGCAGTTTTGCCCTTTTAAAAAATACTAAAAAAAAAAAAAAAAAAAAAAAAGGAACCGGCATGGCCCATCAGGACCAAGGGCCTAAAGCAAAGATATAAAAAAAAAAAAAAGGAGGGCTGCCCTAGACTTGCAATGGCCCTAGGGCTGGGCTGACCAGGTTGACCACATCGATCTGTCTAGCTCATGGTGAGCCGGGCAGGATAATGCTATCTGTTTACTCAAATTTTGTCGGGAAGCTAGGTTTTCACAGTTCAACATCTCAAGTTTCAGTCTTAAAAAATTGATGTACTTCTCAATAAAAAAAATCCTTTTAACTATAGCGTTGCAACCTCTTGAATTGATATATTTCCCAATAAAAAAAATTGATACATATCTCAATAAAAAAAAATCCTTGAACTATAACGTTGCAACCTCTTGAATTGATATACTTCTCAATAAAAACAATTCCTTAAATTGCACTCTCCATGCACTTAAAAAATAAGTCCCAAGATTTGCATGCAGACCTCGCAATATGTGAAGAATGGGATCGAAGCGAGATGGAAAACTCAATACTTTTTTTTCTTTTTTAATGTTCATCTTAGTGATTCTTGGTTAATCATTGGTTTAAAATTGTGATACTGTAAATAATGTGAAATTTAAATTAGGATTTAAGATAGATTAGAGATTTATTAGTCATTTGGCAACCAAAAGTTTTGTCGCAAAAAATTAGGAACTCCCAAAACCATGTAGCAATTCTAGACTATGAAATGCACCATTTTTATATTCCTGCTTGAGGCCGATACTCTTGACATTTGAACTACATGGTCTTTGATCAAGTTTCATGCCACTGGCCTTGTCAAATTAATTTCTAATGTAATGCATCTTAACTGGCCAAATTAATGTAATGCATCTTAACTGGCCTTGTCAAATTAATGTAACAAGTAAGGTGCACTTTCAAACTCTGTTAAAAAAATATAGTTTTGGTATTGAAAATCCGAAGTCATTTTTAATCCTAATTTTGAAATTTAAAGTTTAAAAGATGGTGGAAATTGAGCATATGCACAAACACTTGAAAATTTTGAAAATGAATGCTCCACATAATGTGGTACAAAACACGTTATTTGTAGGACTTGAGATCTCTATTTGTGGGACTTTAGATCTCTATTCACTTCCATACATCTCGAGGTGTTATTTGTGAGACTTGAGATCTCTTATCATATCTATACATCTTAAGGTCAGAATAATTAAATAAAGGATCTTTCAAAAGAGGACCTTGAGGTGTCACTTTATTATAGAAGGACGTAAACTTTTTCCATCTGAAATGGATAAGGTTTTACAAAGGCACTAAGGTCGTGCCTTACCAAATTCGAAAGGCCATACATCTTGGAAAGGCTACACATTAGAACCCTATTTGAAAAAAGGGTAGGAGCCCGTCTTACCCATTGAATTACCCAAAACAAAGACCCTGATGTAAAAGCCAAATCTTAGGGTTGATTGAAAACTAAGACCTTGTGCTCACCTGAGAAAAGGATGTAAGAACCTACATATCTATTATCATCATCATCATCATCTGAACCTTATACCAACTACCAACTATCTAGGGCATATTAGAGACCTACACATCCATTTTTTCAAGAAAGTGATTTGGTTTTTGTAGTGCTGAGGCCTATACCAAATTGGTATGGCGCCTCAAATTCCTGAACAACTGACTTGCAAATCCATCCCCATCCATATTTCCCAACTTTGATGGGCTTGAGCTTGAAACTCGTAAAAACTAGTTAGATTTGTGATGTCTTGAAATGGATGAAATAGACTTGAAAAAAGGAAAAAAATGCCCTAATATAAAAAGTTCGGGAAAATAGATCATTTCTATAAATCAATTTTCCCTCTTTTTATTTTATTTTACTTTTTTTTTTAATATCCATAACCTTTCTGTAGAAAATGATCGTCATGCAAGTTTTCTACCACTAGAACCGAGTATCATGAGATTCTACATGCAGCTTAATAAACTGATAAATGCATTTTCTCGTAAAATATGAGGGGTCAATTAAAGTAAATTCTAGTAAGATTTGAGGGGTATGACACTACGAATTTTGCTCCTAAGCCCGAACAAGAAATAGGAAGATTGTGTTAAATTGACAGCCAACATAAAACTTTTGCCACAACTCTATCAAGAATCTTAATAAAATAAAAAAAAAAAATTCATATAGCCAAACCCAAATAATTAGAATAAGACTCGTATGACGATAATGGTAATTCTTTTAATGACCATTAAAAGTAAATACATATTCTGGTGAGATTTGAGAGGACATTCGAAGTAGAGCGGGTGCAGCTGGATTTGAAATGGAGGAATGGGAACTGTAAGAGGAATTGAGAAATAAACTTGCGACTTTCTGACCATTAATTTGACAATTTCAAGATGGAAGAAACAAGATCTTTACCCTTTTTGTCAACCTTCGAGGTTTTTCAACACACTAACTCAGCTTAGTGCAATAACAGTGCAGTTAAATGAATCTAGGTATATTTTAAGAAAACACCCATGTTTACAAATTTTGACGCATCAAATGGAACATATAAGAATAACAAATGAAAGGCAATATTAGATAATTGTATATCAAATGTGGTTCTCTGATTACAGTAGGATTTTAACAAAATTTTCAAATGGCTCCTGCCTATGGTTTTCTCCTTTAAATGGGATAATTAAATATTTAGCTGATTTGTAATTAAAAGTCACACTGGTTTTTACTAGCATCAAAAAGAATTTGAGAGAGAGAGAGAGATACTCTACATCTATTTATTAAAAGAACGCACACCAAAGAATAATACATACCCTCATGGTACAAAATACAAACCACACCTGGACCCATTCATTTTTACTCTCGTTCTTTCCAGTTTCTTCCAATTTTAATGCTACATATCAGATGCTGACGTGCGGTTTATCCTTTGCGCACCCAATTTCATAGGAGCACCTCTAGCACCACGGCCTCTCGTGGCCGATAAAGGCTTTGCTTTCGTTGAGGGGGGAGGAGCTGCAATGGCTGCCCATGGGTCGTCATTGTCATTTGACGTTATTTTCTTTGTGGTCAATGGCTTTGCAACAGTTTTCGGTTGGGGGGCAGCCATCGAACCCCATAGATCATCTTCATCTCTTGTCGGTTTGATTGCAGTGCTCTTGCTCCCGAGAGTTGTAACTGCAAAATGTGTTTCAATGTCAAGCTCTCTCTCTCAGTGTTCTGACCATACTAGATGAATGAACCTCTCTCTTTCTCTCTCTCTCTCCCCACACAGTAGTGACCATACAGGAAGCCCAACAAAACTAAAATTTCCCTATACAACCCATCTTGAGAAGGCCTTGCTCCCTGTGCAATACAGTGACACCCTTAAATGCAATACAGTGACAACTTTTGACCAAAATGAATAAGGGTCTAAAAGTTTTTGTGAAAAACCAGCTCACCAATTTTATGTTATGCCAAGGGAGAAATACAATCAGCACTCTTCTCTAATGTTAACCCATTGGTTACGGATTTGTGAATTTTCTATATTCCCATGGTGAAATCGGATACCCTGCTTGACATCTTTTGGACACCATTTCCCTTTAGTGCACAAAGCTGTATGCACTAAAGTTACACGCAACGAAGTGTGGGTGAGTCCACAAGGTCTCAAGAGTATAATATGATTCACTACGAGTTTGAAAATCCCGCAGTGTGTGTGGGTGGGCGCACTTGTGTGTAGTTCCTCAATCAAATGGTACACGGGTTCAATTATCAAAAATAAACATGGGGAAACTGTACATATGATCATGGGAACAGCATGGTCATAGGGGCCACCGCTGTTGAATCAATTGCTTGGATGGTGATGGAAGGAAAGTGAGGCATAAAACTGAATTGGATTCAATAGCTTGGATGGTGATGGAAGGAAAATGAGGGACAAAACTGAACTCATAACACCTTTGGTAGGACCCACTCTCCCTACATCACCATCCTGCCTATTAACGGAATAGTGATGACCCTTAGAACCATCGTGACAACATGATCATATTAGTTAGTATTTTTCTTAAAAAAAGGAAAATACAAAGAGAAAACAATACCAAATACAGGCACGTAAGAAGGCATTTGGATATAGCAAGGCATACCTTGTGGCTTAGGCTGCACAGGTTGTGTAACCACTGGTCTTTTTTGTGCAGCTTGTATGTTTGCAAGGGCCGGAGGTGGCTTATGCTCCTCCACTGGATCGATATCATCCCACCCATCTTTGTCACTGTCATGTTCATGAATCCCATTCTCAAGCTCTCCCCATCCATCAGTTGAAGTTGGAGATGATGGGACAGGATGATCGGCAGCCTCTGTGGTAGGATCCACTTGTGTTGGCAAGCAATCTGAATCTGAAGCTAACAAAAAAACATTTTTAGGTCAGTTGCAAGCATGATTGAGCCGCAAAGTTGGTTAATGAGCCATAAGTCTTAAAAGTTGGAATTAAAACAATAGGATTTGGATACCATGCTTACATCTGAGGTTGTATCATATACAAGCATTTGAGATGCCGAAAATCAAGGTAATCTAAAAGTTGCAATAAAAATAATAGGATTTGGATACCATGCTTACATCTGAGGTTGTATAATACGCAAGCATTTGAGATGCTGAAAATCAAGGCTATCTAAAAGTTGGAATTAAAATAATAGGATTTGCATCTGAGGTTGTATAATATGCAAGCATTTAAGATGCCAAATATCAAGGCAATCGGTAAAACCTCTTAAAGGCACTCTTGTCTTTTTTCTCCAGTATTTTGGTGGATAAGTTCATCTGAACCTAAGATATTAATTGGATAAAGGAACATGGGATCTACATAGATGCATAATGCTACATGTATGAACAAAAAAAACTGCCCCAAATTGGTACCTAAACAGTATAATATTCACATCCTTACCAGGAAGCCCAAGCTAAAATCAGTACTTTGATATAGTACTTTGATATTAGTACAATTACCAAGATTTTCTAAAATGGCAAATTAGATAACTCAAAAGGATATGTTCCATAAATCTGTAACAGCATCTCTTTCTTTTAGATACCATCCAGCTTAGAGAAGCTAACAGATGCTATGACTAATACCAAAATACTGGGAAAACTAATTGAAAACAACTCTAAGTCTACATGCATAAACATAAAACACAGCTGCTTCTGGATCATGAGCATAGGAGCCAGTGTCTGCAATACGGGTCTGGGACTATAGAGGTGTTAGAAAGGTAGCCACAGATTAACACTTCTTCTTTATTAACAAATTAGTGTCATTTATGTGTTAGGTACCAATTTGGGGCAGTTTGGGGCAGTTTTTTTTGTTCAAAGTAGCAAAGTTTGGTATTATACATTTACTTTAAAGTATATATATATATATATATATATATATGGAAAAGTCTTTCCAACGGAAATAGGCGAAAATGAACAGTGATTTCGCCTACCCTCATCACCATCAAAAGTTCAATGCACGGTCACGATTGTCCAGTAGTGTTTTATTTTTCATTTTTTTTCTACAAATCAGAATAACTTGAAATTTAGAGCGTGTGTACATCTTAGTGAGACACACTTAATAGAAATATTAAAAAATAATTCCCAAAAAATGACCAAAATACCCTCGAAACTTTTCAGGGGTATTTTGGTCAAATATTTTCATGTAAAATATTTTTCTGATATTTTTTGTAGATTCGCCTATTTTTTATGAACACACGCTCCAAATTTCAGGTTATTCCGATTTGTAGAAAAAAAATGAAAAATACAACACTATCGAATAATCTTGACCGTACGATGAACTTTGGACGGTAATAAGGGTAGGCGAAATCACTGTTCATTTTCGCCTATAGGCGTTTTGTAGTATCTTCCTATAAATACTATACAATCTCTTACCACTCTCCAATGTCTGAACTTCCTAAAATCTCTCCCTCTTTTGTCTCTCAAAACTCTCATCCCTAAATCTCTTTCCTTAAATTTCTTTCATCTGTAATATAAATGAAACGAAAAAGTTCCCAAAATAAAAAAAATAAATCCATCAGGCTCCTCCCAGGCTTCAAGCTAACGCTTGCTGGGTTCAACAATTGGCTTTCAAAGTTGCTGCCTACACACATAAGAAAGTGCAGTATAGAGAGTGCCGGCCCATTTGATGAATTTCAATTTTAGATCTATGTATCCGAATTGGGGCTCACCCCGACTGAATGATGAACTCATGCAACGACACCTTTCTTTTGCCTGGTGGTGAGATGAGCCCTTTAAGACGTTTTTTCAAATCTGGAATCTCCCACAGAACTGGACCAATCATTCTCTCCTTAAAAATCTCTTTATGTTTTATCCAAATCATAACCTTAAAAACTAAACCATTATGGTGAAGGAATAGGAGCGAACAGAAAAGGAAAACCTAACATAAGGGGCTTTTATATTATAAAAAGGGATTTCTATAATAGTATTTAGCTAATCCAAAAATATGAATATTTCAAAAAAATGTTAGATAACTAGACAACTAAACAAACAAGGCTTTGGTTTGTATAAGGCTGCAACCTTAAATAATCAAATTAAGGTGCCGCCAAATTTTATCACCGATATAATTTTGGCATAAAAAATTCTAAGGATGGCTTGAGAATCTATTTTCATCTTTAAATATAAAATCCTAAATTCAAAAAATGGTTCAAATCAAATAGATCAATAAACATTTGAAAATCTTGAAAATAGACGGCCCAGATAATGTGTTGCGAGATACACTATTTGTAGGACCCGAAATCATTTTCTCTTTTCTTCATATTCATATATCTCGATGTCAAGATGATCAATTAGAGGAACATCAAAACAACTTTTATGATGGATTTTTGAAGTGCATGTTAATTCTACATTTTAAGGTTGCATACTTATTTGAATGAATTACAAATTAAACAAAAATAAAATCTTAAATTTAATAAATATTTTGAAAATAATTATTTATCTAATCTCCCGGCAGGAGCACCGTGCAACACATGTGCCATTAGTTAGTAACTATCAATGTGCCCATTTGGTAAAATAGAGCTTATTTAACTAGGTTTACCTTTATAATACCTTGTCTAGTTTGTAAGTACGCCAAACCATGCAAACATGGGGAGAGAGAGAGAGAGAGAGAGAGAGAGAGAGAGAGAGAGAGGACTCAATTACACTATCAAAATAGGTATACATCTAAACATCACCAAAACCACAGTCATCTCTCTAGTGTTGAGGACAAAACAAAGTGTATAGATACATAAATATCTAAAAGAACACATACCCGCACTGGTATTGGAGGTTGTTGAGACAAGTGGTGTTTGAGTACTGCTCGAACCTATTGGAACCTGTTCTGAAGCTTTTCCCTTCAGTGTCAAAGAGCTTATTGCCCATCTGCAATTTTGGCAACACAAATATGCTTTCATAGTCATATTTAAGAGGAAACTTGGCAATAAAATATTAGATTTTCACTTTCAGGCGTTTATTATGTGCCGTTTATTTCCATTTTCTTTACAGGGTGAAACTAAATGAAATTGGAACATAACTCCATAAAAAAACAACTTTTTATGGCTCTAGAAACATAACGTGATACCCATTAGGTTCTAGTACATTTTTCTCTCATTCATTCTTTTAGGTTAGTATATGCTATTCAATACTAATAGAATAAAATTTGGGCCAACATCTACAGTTAGATAAATACCAAGCATTCATTGACTAAAGAAGAATACCTCATCCAAGTGAAGTCATTGTTTCGAATCAAGGACGTTGAAGCACTATATGTGGATCTACTGCACGTGACTATAAAATTGCTACCAGATGATCCCTTTCTTTGCTTCTTTCATTATATTTTCTGTGAAGTGTATCTCCCATAGACTTTCTCCAGGCATATAAATTATTAAATTATAGAAGACGTTTTATTGTGTTTTTTACAAAAAAATTTGACAATGCAGGAATCTAATTAAAGAATTCCGAATTTCAAATATACTTTGTGAGGAAATGTCAAATATATTGGCATAATTGGTTTAAATGTAATTGTTAATGATATCAAGATTTCGTGCAGTGGAAGACATTTCTAGCTCAATAATGTATTGCTTTTAAAAAACTCACCCAAGCAAACTTGCATTTACAGGTAATGTCGTCAAGCCATTGCTTGCAGTACTGCTTGTATCTCCCATATTTATCTAACAACAAAGAGAAGAAGTCAAGTAATTCATTGAACATATAAATAGAAATTAAAGTGATCAACTATTTAGAGGGAAAAATATGTGCACAATGGAGAAACAAGTTAACAATAAAGGATGAAGTTATGTGCAAATATTAAGAAAAGATAGATCATATGAATAAACCTAATTAAAGATTTAGTGGCAAAATGCTACGCATAAGAGTACAATAAACAATATGCAAGAAATATCCTCTTTTTTACCTTTTCATGATGTTGCTTCACTATCTGCAAAAATTGATCAAGTGCCTGAAATGCATTTGACCTGACATCACTGGAGAATAGTGTAGAATACACAACTGAGATATGACTTCCATGAATTACTCGAGAGAAAAATATGTAAATGGTTCATGAAGTTATGCCATTCATATTTGATCAAGACAAAAATGTCAATACTACTCATGTAGAATTATCTAAAGATGCTTAATTGCCATGTACTAAATCATTTGAAGGGAAGTTTTCAATGCCTCCACTCAACAAATTCTCTTATATAAACAATACGATGAGATATTATCAGGCATTTAATGCCCGTCAGAAGAGTAGAGCAAGTAAAGCATGGTACCCAACAGGAAAAATAGATCTATAAAACAAGCTCATATGTTTACCACATCTAACCATGGGTCGTCCTTCCTACTTCTATGAGTCGGCACGATAACCCCAATCCTTTACTTCAAATATCATTAAGCTCATACACATTCTTGCTTGTGTGTTCTTTACTATATCTGATTGCAGCACCTTCTATACCATAGACATTGCCGGATCTTCCATCTAAGGTGCTTCTAGAATACGGTTCCACGGTTTGGGAGCTGGAATGCATTTCCAAGTCTAGGGAGTATGTCCTGTCCTTGGGAAGTATCTCTACTAGTGATGTTCAAGAAGAGGTCCCTATCTCCTTTGCAGGCTCAATTGCGGGACTTATAAAATGCATTTGAAGGTAAATTCTGGTTTTAGAAAAAGAGGAACTTTTCATTTTAGGTCAAATTTTAAAAAGAGCCCAAGCATTAAAATCTTTTAATTATATTTTTTTAAGTTTACCTTTTCAGAAAATATTCAATTTTTTAAAATATGATTGCATGGGTACTCTCTGATACAAATCGCATCAAGGGGCTAGGTGGACTGAAGTTCATACTTTTTAATTTGAAGTAGGGGCGTGTCTAGAAGTGCAGTATTGCAAGTTGGATGTGTTGAGATTGTTTTATTTGTTGAGTGTCATTTCGTAATTTGTCATCAAGGGGTTATTTTGGGTTTTAGTTTAGAGTCAAGGGTAGACTAGAGTGTTTTAGAGTCTCCATGTAGTCAACGGGTCAAATTAGGGTAATGTTGTTTTGAGTTCTCATAAGTCAAAGTCAATACGATAGAATTCCTATGCATGGGAATTTGATTGCATGTTGCATGCAAGGTGGTTTTAATGTAATGGGGAATAGGCATTGGGGTAGTTTAGTCATTGTCACATTTAGTAAGGGGTATTTTGATCATTGTCTAGGGCATAGTTACCGAGAGCACCCCAGCAGGGTGGCGCTCCGGCTCTGAAATCCAGCTCCAGTGTTCCATAACAGGGATCTTGCTCGGAACACGATTTTTTTATTTCGGGATCTCGCTCCGATGAACAAAAGGATCTCGATCCCCACATAACACGGTGCACGTTCGTGAAGATTGTAGATCCCGTTCTCGAATAAATAAGGTCCTTGAACCCGGAAATTTGGGAGCATGATCCCTATGTACACGAAATGCCATCCTTATAAAAAACGAGATCCCGTTTATGTGGGAACGGGCTGCAGTGCTTAGTGGGAACATGAATCCATGTGTAATGGGGTTGGTTCTTGATACAAGTGGAATTCTATGATGGGAGCGCAGACCAATCACGCAAGGAGCACGATTCGTCCTTGAATAGAGTTCGATCCTTTCAAAATAGGAACATGATTCAACTTCAAATGGGATCTCGTTCCTATTCCAGATGGGAGTGTGATTATATTGCATATGGGAACACGATTCCATTGTATATGGACCACGTCCCCATTTATTAAGGATCTAAATCCCATTGTGTTGGGAACGTGCTCCGCCTTCATATGGGGATCTCATTCCACTACTTTTACCCTCACCGGAACTTGTTCCCCGAGAGTTGGAGCTTTAGGCAGCCATCAATCCGACGCTCCCGTTCCCGACCACAGAGCCGTTCTCACTCTAGCTCCCAGTAACTATGGTCTAGGGCCAGCAAGTGGGGTTATATATATTGTACATTGCTGTTATAGAAGTAGATGTTGATGTTTTGATTAATGAAACTGAAAATTTCCTCCTACATTAGTGTAGTAGAGGAGGCCCCTACTTTGTCTAGATCTGCAGCCCCACTTGGACTAGTGGAGTGATTAGGGCTGGAAAGACCCTTGTTCCTTTCCCTTTCTTGATGGAGATCAAGGAATTTTCCTTCTTGTTAATCAACCGACTTTGATCAACGGATTGTTGTAGCTGAATCGGTCCCGGATTTCTCCTTTTCAGAATGCCGGTTTTGCACCACCCCACACCGCTTGCTAACTAGGAAGCTTCTGGCAAATGACCATCCCCCACTCCCGCTCCCAACGCCAATCTTATTACAAACTAACAAAAGATATATGTTTCATATCACTGTAATCACATTTGCTTTGCTTCGGCCTCTGTAGTGGAAGCCTTCAGGTTTTATAGGCAAATCGAAGCAAAGCAAATCATTCCTTGGTAAATTTCAATATAAGGAAACTAACTTCAAGAATGCCCGTGATAAAGTTTGGTAAAGTACCAACACAATATTAAAAGTTTCATATAAGTACCTACATGAGTCAAAATTTAGAAAACATAGTTTATATGTTAATATTTTTCAAAAAATACCTACTAATGCATTTTTTAAATTTTTTTATTTTTCAAATACAGCAGAAGACCTTCCTGAATCAGCCAAAGAACTTCTCTTTCCCAACCAAATCGAAGAGCCCTTCGAACCAAATCCAATAACATTGCTCTATATTATATATTAAATATAGTTTTGATTATCTCATGCAAATCCTCCCATATTCACTAACAAAATCATAAATAGAACTATCCAAAAAATCACTAATAACAAGGTTGTGGACAAACCTTAGAAGGAAAGAGCAATCCACACAAAGCAACAATTCAAGCTTAAAAATTAGTAGAGCAGTAGCCCTCAAGTTTGGAATTCTAGTCTCAAAATGCCTAATATAGCATGGATCAATCCTGAAAGCTGTAGGCCAAACACCAAAAATTACTAGAAACCATGCCACAGAAACCCCAAGTTTTTCCAACCTTTTCTACCTGATATAGGATAATCTGGATGTTGTACTCCAGAAACATTTCACCAGACTCAAAAAAAACCCATTTAGGGGCTAGATTGACTCCATAAACACGTCACCAGACACTAAAGAAACCCATTTAGGGCTAGATTGACTTGATTAGGCTCCTCTAAAAGCCCCTACCAGTAAAGAGTCCTCTAAACTTGCCAATTAGACCCCAACTCACTAACTTTCCCTTCCTAAGTTGAACTGGAATTCCTCCTTCGTGTTGGACTCCCCTTACACATGTCCAAAGCTAACCGGTTTTTGAATATGGATGTTCAACACTAACTATTACCCCTAGGAAGCTTGATTAAGGGGTTGAAAAGGCAATAGGTGCTATATATTGTATAAAAATAAATAAATAAATTATGGAACCTTACTCTGATTTGGCCAAAATTACATGTTCAATCCCCTTCTAGCAAATTTTCTTCTCTAAGCAATCCCTTTCTCGCATAGTGTTGTGACACTTGTAGGGCTACGACAAAATTTCCATATCAATGTATCAAAGGAAAAAGCTTATATAAGGCGTAGGCTTTACGATCAAAATACCTTAGGGCGGCTAGATTTGGAAAATTAACAAAACCATTCTGGGTTGACAAATTCCCAAGGAATCCCTTGGGTGGGAACTGCTAATTCCAGGAAGGAGACTCCAGGACTCTTCTGTGATCCTTGGCCAAATTACCTCATGGACAAACTACTAAATGCCTTCAGGAAACAATTTTCTCTTCTTTTGAATTTTACCCATCCATGCCACCATAGCAAACATCAAGATCACCTCATTTGTTGCTCGTGGAGATAGAAGAGGCTTGTCAATTGGATCTCCAAAGATCTGCGATCTAAATATAGATGCCACTCACACACATGCCCAGCACGTGAAAGAATTCATTTATATAATATATCATTTTGCAGTTAATTACATCGACTTACATTGCTCCTAACCAACTACGTGGATCATGGCCAGCCTGAAGTCACGCCACATTAATCATCTATCTAGACTAACAGTTGGATGGGTTTTACAATTTTACAGGACAAGACTAAGAACTATGTATCTCTGATGCCGAATCACTACATTTCAGTGTAAATAACTAAAGGTTATTGCATCATTTAGTCTTATCTTTCAGCAGGTTCTACAATCCTTGATTGATCATGTATTTGGGGAAAAAACAATCTTCTCAGATCAGTAAATTTGGCTCTAAGAGAGGACAAAAGACTTCAGAATTTAAGCAGCAATAGGGTCTTTAATGCCCTGTTATTAATGACCAAAATCCCTAATAATTAATTAAGCGCAAGTTCAGATCACCCTAAATAGATTGCACAGGGTTAGATAAATGTATAATCAAATATACAACAGTAGATAAAGTCAACAACAATTGAGATTAGAAATAACCATATTGTTCATGTATGATCTTCATCTGTACATAAGATGCAGTACTCTCCATAGAACTCCTAGTAAAGGCTGATTAAATTCTGTTTTAAATCATTTAAGCAATGCCATATGCAAGTTCCTTTACGAGATGAGAGAATTTAAAATCCGAAGTCACCTGTCAGGGTCAATTGTAAGGACAACAACATTTGGTAGAATGCGAGTTGCAATCTCCGTTACATCATAATATGCACTGGTGGCATTCAAAGCCATAACACCTGTCAAAATTGAACTTATACTGTATTAGATATCCCAACAGAAAATCATGGCACAAAACAAAAATAAATCTTATTCAAGACAATAAACATTGGCATAACAAACATCCAGAAAAGTGAATTATCAAAATAAATGCATAAAAATAGACGTATTAAGGCAAACTCACAACATCTAATATAGGTGCCCCAAAAAGAAGTAAAATGCTATCTATCTCTATATCTAAACAAATCGGATATTGTTACAGATATTAGATGCACAAATTGAGACCTCTGAGGGAATTTGAACAAGAACATGGAGGGAACGGTTTCCAATTCATTCAAGGTTCATGCTGCCTATGCAGCTGTATGAATGTGTGCCTACTAGTGTATATACAGGGAGGTCATTATCTACCTGCAGCTCGAGCTGGAGGAAAACTATCACGCAATGCCCGCACAGTAAATGCATTTATTAAAACACGTTTTCTTGTCTGCATCACAAAACAAATACTATCAGATATTGGCAGATAATCTAAAGAAAACGTACTTCAATTCCATTGGTTGCATCATGAACTTCTATTCAGTATGTACTTGTGGTGCAGAATGCAGTAACAGAATTGAAACATAACATATACCTCGACCTAGAAGGAAACTATCCAGAGATGTAAATCAGAGCACATGCAGCAACTATCAAATAACTAACTTACCCCAAAAAAACTATCAACTAACTAGGCTGTTGATCTATGTAAGATAGCTTGATCAAGTGAAATATCTAACCCATGAGTCTCAAAGAAACTAACCCCTTCATTTAGATAGCCAGCTATATTCCCCAGGAGAATAGTAGTATTCGTTCTAATTGCTGGTTCTTCATCCACCTGCAAACAGGAACGAAATTCAGGTTATGTTTGCTCTAAATCTTACAATTTGGAGAGAGAGTGCCTGAAGTTTGAGAAATAAATTTATCAAACAGGATTGCTTCTCGTCAAATGTCAGTTATTGGGCATAACAGGCTTACTTGAACAGAACAAACCGCAAATTCATTGAGAATTAAATTCATAAAACAAAATAAGAAAATATCTACTCTTACATCTTAAAATAATTTACCTGTAACTTTGACAGGTATTTCAGCAAGGAACCGGATATGCTGCGTTGGGATAACTGCAAAGCAATTTGAATATACATCAATATAAGGCATATGAATCTATGTATTCACATAATATAACTCCTGACATGGCAAACATTCAAGCTATAAACTATCATCAAAGTGAGACAAGAATCTTCACAAGCCAGATTGTTTTGTTAACATATTTCCATAAGCAAGAAATTAAATGCCATGGACAAGGAAAATTGTTAAATTAGGCACTCATTAGCACTCTCACAAAATAACGTAAATAGGCTGCAAGAAGAGCTTCTAAATCGCAAATTTTCAGCAGCAACCCAAATAATACCATTACCCTGTCAAATTAGATGATAAGGAGAAGCATAGAGCAATTTATCTGAAATTAGGTCCTCCATTAACGAGTAATTTTTAAGGTTTATATAATTTCTATTAATCAGTGATTAAAAGCCTGGACCGGTTTGGGCTCGGCAGGGACTAAAGCCTGAGTCCGAGGCCGACTTGGCCGGGTTGGAGATCCGACTCAGCTGAGTCTCCATAAAAATACAATAAAACTCAGTAACTTGGGTCAGACTCACTCCAAGAAGTAGGGTTATTCATCCGGACCCAGAATGCCGGGTGAGACTATTGGAGCAACTCATGAGAGCCCAAGCCCGTGTAACCGATTCTAAACACTACAATTAATCATACTGCTTAAAAGACTAGTTTCCTAGAATAACTTTCCGTCCCCAACAAGCATAGCTAGCATCATAGAAATTAATTATGCATATATAGGTTAAAGGCCTAGAACATTTCATAGCGTTCTCATAATTCTCAAACAATGTGGCAAGGTTCATATCTGAGCCTATTATGGTTTGGTGGGAGAATAGAAGAGACTCAATATTTGGCCAGTTCAGGAAACATTTCAAGTTTTTCTCTGAAAATGAAAAAGCATGAATAAAAATAAAATAAAGGAAGATTTAAGGCAAACATGAAAACATAGTGTCAGGCAAGTATGAGACATTACATGAGGCACTTCATGGTGAAATAACAATTTAGCAACTAAACATAACAATTTTGTTTTTATTGGTCATTCAAACATAACAGATGTTAATTTTCAAAAAAAACAAAAAACATAACAAATGTTCAGAAAATGATATGGTTGAAAATTAAATCTTACAAATTTTTTCCAAGAGTTTGGTGATTCCTTTAGAGCACCAAAAGCTACAATTTGACATTTTACATATACCAATCAAAGTTTCCATGTTACTTAATTTATGAAGGTTCCTGGAAAACATACATATTATCAACAGTTCACAGCTCAAAGCATGAAAATAAATTCAAGCAATATAAGAACTGAAATTTCACAAAAGAGCAGCAACTAAGAATATAGATTTACCCCCATATTGTACAAGGATCAAAAATTTGTATTGGAATATGGCTTTGGATATGATGCTTTTCAAACTCACCTTTGGAGCTAGAACAAGTATTGACTTAAGTGTCAATTCCCGAAGAAGAGCAGATGTGTCCGAGAAACCAGTTGCCACATGCGGAAAGACCTGATGAAAAAGCAGCACCCATGCATAAACGCCCTAATGAATTGATGAACTTAATAGTTCAAAGTATAAGAAAATTGTTTCTCAACAAGTAAAGTTTGATAAATATTTAAGATATCAGATAGACAACATTTCATATCATAGTAACATACTTGCTCATCAATAATTTGAGCTGATAATGATGGTCCAAACTGATCTATGTGCTGCAGAAGACCAACTCTGATAGCGCGGTCATTGGAAGCAAACAGTTTCACAATAGTTGGCAAAACCTATATGCGTCAAAGCAAAATTGCATCAGCAAAGGTTGTCCATAAAAAGAAACATACTATGATAGATCTGTATCGGGATAATCCATGAAGAAATTAGAAAGTGAGAAAAAAAACTTGACATTAAATTCTTCAGTGGAAAGCCAAGAACCCATTTTCAACAAAGCCGTCAAAGCAGGAGCAGCAGCAGATCCAAATTCAAGTGCAGATGCTAGTAATGGGAGTAACTACAATGTCCAAAAATGAGAATATTAGAACAAAGGATCACTAAATAACACTTGGCAAGCAAAAATGACAACAATAGAGATAAATTCAGGCCTCTGAATCAAGTTTTGCAAGCATTGCACCTTCTTCAGAACAATCTCACGGGGAAGTTGTTCTGCCAAGTTTGGTAGCTTTCGGAAAAAGGAGTCCTTTTCAACACTATCTTTTAAATTCAGAACCTCCATGAACTGGATAGTTTCCACCAACTTATTCTGGAAATACTCTGCCAAAAACCCAAGGAATCAGTAAGCTGCAAGTAAGGCTCTACTATATCCATTGGTAAAACAACCAAAACGTTACTCTAAGAAAAAAATGGTAATTGTAGACAAATCAATTCCACATAATGTACTTCTCCGGGAGCAAAGAACTTTAAATCTCCTATATTTTCTGAAGAATATTGAAGACTTAATGATGTATATGAGTACTAGAAAGTCTCATCCAAGCTCCATACAAGCAGCAAATGTTCTGAAAAACGATATTGAAAAAATACAGATTCGGCCACCTAGGCAGGCACCTTGTTTACTAGGCAACTCATGTAGGAAACTTAGGGGTCTAAGACCGGGGGAAGCTGTTTAGAGGGGTGCGACTTCCTCAAAAATGATCTTAGAAACTATAGTGTTTTTAGAAATACTAGTCAAACACATTATCCTAGTCCGCAATACAGCATATTTCATACATATATCAAATATGAACTAGCCATTGAATTACTTAGAGTCTCAAAGTCAAATAAAATAAAAAGATGCCCAATAGGCCAAATACCCATCTCCCAAATCAACATTCCATAATATCAGTTCATCATAGCCAAGTGAAACAAAGAAAAAGAAAAAAATAGGTCCAACTCCATACTCCCAACATTACATCACATGTGACCATGATGAACTCTGATTGGTAATTGAGTTTCATCATCACTACCAACAATGCCTCGTTGTCCACCACCACCACCACCCAAGCCACCATTTGATGATCATGATGCAAGCAAAGTAAGTTTTAGGGGGTTACAATGCCCCCCTAAACCATTTCTCCCCTCTTTGAAGGGGGAGGGGGGGGGGATGGGGAGGATGACATTTTTTGCCCTCAGCAGAGGGCATATTTCTGCCCTCTCACCGAAGGGCACTGGACTACCAGGCACCCCGCCTGGAGGCAGTCACTGAGATGGCACCTAGACACAAAACGCCTAGGCACCCTGCCTAGGCCCTTATGTGGGCGGGAAAGGCCTTTGGCTGCCTATGCGGCCAGTCGGCTGAATTTTTAAACACTGTTGAAGAATATCCAACTTCGCTCAAGACCAGGCCGAATCCCAGGCCACATATGATGAGCTTCTAGGCATTGTAAGGAATTCCAGAGGATATATCTAAGTATGGGTTTACACCATGTGACTCTTGGTAGTGGGACAAAACCCTCAATCCACAATTTCAAGACATTACAATAATATAACAATAAAAAAATTAAGTTAGAAATATAAAATTAAGTTAGAATATGTCAATATTCCCTCAACATTCAGAACACATGCAAATGCCAAGACAGAGTAACATGAAAGATTATGTTCAAGTACTATAGGACCAATGACTCTCATATAAACCTCTTCAGTTGGTTAACAAGTGAAGTATGATAGACCTGGACACCAATGAGAGGATAGCCCTTATATGTTCAACAAAATATGAGAGGATAGCCCTTGATGGTTTACCAAAAGAGAGTTATGCAGGTAGCATGGAGCAAGGAGGCTCCGGTATGAAAGTAAAGCATTAGGGACACTAGTTTGGCCACTACTGATAACACCTCAAAGGTATACTTTTCATTCTCAAACTCCAGAAGTAATGAGAGCCAATGCCTAGGAATTTTCATTTTCAGAGAAATCCACTCAAAAGATGGTTTCTGCAAATTTTAACGGACAAATCACCTCCATCAGCTCATCCTCCATTTTTGAGTAAACAAGATTAAATATCATAATGTCAATTTTAACCCAAATTGAGATCAAAGAGTTCCAAACAGGTCAGTATGTAACTACGTATCATGATATGCGAAAGCCCGTAAAGTATCCTACATGGCTATCTCTGTACAACATTCTATATGATTCTACTTATCATTAGATATATTACAAGAGTGAGCGGTCAAGAAACCAATGTTTCAAAACGAATGATATTAAGATAATGTTCAAATTCTAGGACAAGCTCCTCATGAATCCCTAAACCACTTCAAATGATTATTGTGCCTGAACAGTAAACAATGATGAATTCATAGGAACTGAACTGAGCTTACCACTATTATCGAGCTTTGAAGTATTCAATCTGCGGGAAGGTGTGGAACTCAAGAGTCTCTGATAATCTGAAAGCAGAGACTGGAAACAAGAAGAGTAATTTAATATGATTCCCATCAGATATTCAGGAGATAATATATTTGATGACATAAGTACAGGAAAACTTCTAGAAGGTAAGCACGTGCATAGAACTTCACCACTGAAAATTAATGTCCTCTATAACAGTAAATGTTGAGAAGTGATCCATGATAGAATGAAGTGGGTATTCACCTTAGGTATGGGGCTAGTGTTACGTAGCTCTTCGGTTTTTGTCAACTTGGTACCAGAAAAGAGCTCATAAATTAGACAACCTGAGAAGCAATCAAGTTAATGCCAAACTTCAACAGAAGTTTAATCACACAACCAGAAGCAATATCAAATAGATTATTTGATATGAAACCATTCTTTAAAGTTGTCATCAACAACCCATACCCAGAAAATTCTTGCATGAAATAAATAATCCATTTATAAAGCTATATTTACTTGGTAATGCCACTAACCTCCAGAGTTCATTATAACAACACAACCAAATCACTCTTTAAAATATGTCAAATAAAATGAATTATTAATGTGATAGTTTCCAGGAGGAAAGCCATTAAGGAAACTGTTTGGATAAAAAGATTGGTGGTGGTATATCAGGAAAGACATGATCTGGAATAGTATCAGATTTACATTAAAAAACACTCATTGTAATTCCTTCATTAGCAAGTGATATTTAGACAAGAAATTAGATGCACTCAAGACATTCTCTTAAACGACAAAGGAATTGGTAAAAAATACTAGCACAGAGGCACTAGCATCCAAAACATCAATTTTCAAAGGATAAATAATGGTATGCTATATCATTAAGAAAAAAGGGATAATGGAATCCAAAAATAAAATCTCCAAAGCCCATACTCATATGGAGATCACTGAGAATTTATATTTCACCACTGTAATGAGATTTGCTGCTACTTTATTCAGACAACTTAATTGTAATTTATGATATAAAGATTAAAAATTCAAAACGGTAGCCACATAACCAGGTAATTCCTTAATAAGTTCTTGAAGCTATTATTACCAAAAACTTTTTAAGGAATAAGCTATGACCATAAGAGTAATGCATAGGGAAACCTCACCCAAAACATGCATTGTAGTCAAACAGCCTAAAGAAAAATAAGTACGTTGTAGCAAATACTATATGCTTCTTTCATATGATGTTGGAACCACCATTTTGACATATATCTTTGATTTGAGAAGCATCGACAAAGTAGAATAATAGCTCAATTTTTTTACTATTATAGGATAATAGGGGTTGTACCATGTAACAGAAGCACTTATATGAAAACAACCGTGACAAAAAACCAAAGTAGCCAGCAGAAAACTTACCTACACCCCAAGAATCAATGGCCCATGGTGGAGATTTCCTAATGGCAGTCCAATCAGACTTCAGCAACTCCATTGGTTTGTATTGTACTCCGATGAGCCACTCAAATTGCTGAGGAAACAATTGCTTTCATCCAATAAGAGGCAGCTAGCTCCCAAGAATAGCAACAAAAAAAGAATATCATGCCAATAACATCATTCATAATCATAAAGAATCCTCTTTTACTGACGTTTTAAAACATTCATATCATTTCCTGAGTTTTATTGTGTTCCCGTGACTTTGTTCTTAACTTTTCCAAGAGTTTCTGAAAGAGTATGTATATGAAAAGGTGGATGGGTGGGTGGGTGAGGTTTGTAATGAGATGCCTACCTTATGCTATACAAGTAAGAGGAAACCTATAAATTTTGCCGGAAGTTGCAGTTTGGATGTTAAATAATGGCTTGAAAATCCATGTTCAACACTAATTATGAAATTTAAAAGTTCAAAAAAGGAGCAAATCAAGCAAATCTACAAGCACTTGAAAATCTTGAAAATAGACAAACTAGATAACTTGTTAAAAACTGCTTTATATATAGGACTTGAAATTCTTTTTTTTTTTCTTTATGCCCGTACATCGTGAGGTCACGCCACACGCATGCACACACACACATCCATGAAACTGTATTTATAAAATTTTTACATATGTATAACATTTTTAAATTCAATTGCTTCTTTCCTAGAGAAAAAAAAAAGGATTATCTGACTCTTCGGCACTCAAAGGGCCAGATCCACCATATAAGTTGTGACCCATCGAACCACATCTTCTCAGTGCCAAACACAGGTATTTCACCTATTTTGAAATGTTCCCGCAACATAGCAAGCCTCCAAGATGGTAGCTAAGCCTATGCTATATTACTTATATACAAGGGGTGCAAGGAATTTAAGCAAACAATTGGAGGGACATACAGTTCGGTTGGTCTGCCCACATATGGAGCTGACTGCCGAAACATAGCTGTCTTCTCATAAATCTTGCTTCAATTTTGCATGCCTAGCATGTTGGTTCTCTAAAATTAGAAAGGAGACAAGCAAGTATTAGAAACAACGAAGATATCAAACACAAGATGTTGTAAAGGAGGTTTATGGAGGAGGACTTGAAGAAGGGTAGCGACTTCCTTCACAGTTCGAACTTAAAACTGCTTCCATTTTGTTCCGAGAAAGCAAACAAGTTCCTGCTGTTCCCTAACTGATATTGAACCATGTATAGCACCAAAATAATCATTTGGAATGGGACTAACTGATTAATATCTTAAAATTGCCAAATGGACTCAGCATATTATTTCAGAACTGTGATGCAATGTGACATTCAAAACATTATTGTGTACCAATGGGATTGGACTGATACAAATGAACATTGCAGAAAATATGTAATCTAAATAAAGATAATTCTAATAATAAACATAAAGATAATTCTGCGATGATTATTCATAACCGAAAAATTAATTATGATAAGCCATGCATGACAAGATGCACCACCTCAAGAAATTGACAAGCTTCAGGACATGAAAAGATTAGGAGAGATAGGCAATGCATTGGACCTAGTTATCATTTATTAATTAGCCATCTCTACCAACTACCTTGGCTTATTCTAATAAGTACCAAGGAGCATATGTCCATGATGGATCTTTGAAGGTGAGTTGGCTCTATCTATCCATGCATTAGAAGATTGTGCTCCTATTTAATAAAACAGAAAAGTAAAGAAAAGAAAAGTAGGATTTTTTCATAGAATATACTCTCAGAGGTTACAGTATCACAGCCGTAAGAGGTCCGAGTTATACTAACCCAAAAAAAAAGAGGTCTGAGTTATATGTCTACTACACATGCTACTGAAACATGTAATGCACTAAAAGAGCAAGAACTACAAGCTTGACTTACCAGCATAGCACCTGTAGGTGCCTCATTATTGCCATCAAACTCTGATAGGACATCGAATGCATGTAGCTTCCAGTCTAAAGTTTGTGTCACTACAACACTTGCTAAGCACACATTACCATGCACCTGCAGAAACAGTGAATGAGTATTAGAGAATACCACGCAGCATCATTATATGCATATAACAGATCAAGAACTCTTCCTACATTACAAGGCCAAACAGATTGGAGTAGAATGACATCAGAATGGTTTCAAAAGATGTTCCAAAACAGGACTCTGCCCTGGCTGGAGCCAAGTTACTGGGACGAGTCTGCAAGTGGTGTACATTCCTAAAAAGGCTATACATTTAGAAAAAACCAAAAAAACTGCTAAAAAAATAGTAAAACCAAAGTAAACCATAAAGAGCACTAAAACTCTAAAAATGATGGGAACAAATATGATGGAATATGGGAAAAAAACTATTGATAACTGGAAATAATTCAGAGAATTCCAACAAAGGGGAATATAAAAATAGAGCAAATAATTAAAAAAAGTTCATATATCATCATCAAAATCATCATAATTATATAGGAACATGTTTATATACTGATTTATTAAGAAATATAACTTTTATATTGTCATTTTTTTAATTTACCGAGCTTGTACACTACTTCTTGGCTTCGCAAGGTGCCAAGTCCTATCGGCTTCGATGTTATATCACCACTATACAAGAAAATTTGATTAGTTCAAATGGTTTTCCAATGTCTCATCTGATAGGTTATTTCTGCCAATACAGATGATTTAACCATCTGACAATATCCAATGACGAATGAAAGATAAAATCATAATTAACAGATGAATTTGGTAATACTTCTGATGAAAAACCTTTTGGAAACCTGGGAATAGCAAGAATAGGGTTGTTTAATTAGGGATATCTTAGGTTGGTCTGCATGCCAAAATCTCAGACGCACCTATCAACACTAAAGGAAGTATCACCAGGCTTGTCTTGAACATTTGCATGTGAGACATGCAGGACATGACAGTTACTCAAAATTTTGGACACACTGTCCAAAGTTTAGAAATGTTTCTATTTTTTTCAATTAATCTCATCTAATATTTTTTATGAACTTTCAATCCAGTTAGGAGACTTATCACGTCATAGTTTCTAAGATTGCACCAAATAGAGAGTTTCATTGTAACCCCATGCAGGTGACCTAAAGCACATCGAATGTTTTAGGGTGTACCAAAATGGGATTTCATTGTTGAATTTTTGTAGCAGTCAACTAGACCAATTGTGAAGCTCAAAGTTCCTGGGTTTCACAGGAAGATTTTACTTTGTTATGTCCCATTTGATTGAAGAATATCTCGATCGAACTACAAGTGCAAGTCAGCAAATGTACCTCACTAAGACTAAGTTGGCAAGATGATTTAACTTACTACTGTTCCTAATCAACAAGTTGATTGATTACTACCAATGTCAATTGACCTGAGTAACTGGTTTTTTCTCAGAGGTAAGGGGATAGGGTGACATGGTTCCCAACTTTTCATAGGGATTTTCAAGATGATGAGATGGGAGACTTAGTAAGATTCCTGTCTGAGTTGAAAGATGTTTATCTGCCAATGCAAGGAGTAGAGAGGCAGGTGTGGAGTTGGGACAGCTGAGGATGCTTCACTGCTAGGTGACGATGGCCACTCATCTCATCTAGTTGTTTGAAGGCTCCACCTCAGGTTTAGCTTTTGGGTGGTTAGCATGCCATGGGAGTATATTGACGATTGACCGCCTTCACAGGTGACATGTGCAAATTGCCAATATGTGTATTTTATGCCAAGCTGAGGATCACCTTCTAATTCACTCTAGGTATTATCTTAACCTCTTTGGCCTGCAATGGGTGACCCCAGTTTCTATGGAGGACATTATGTTGAGGTTTGTCTCCATGGCGATCCCACTTAGGGACTCTCTAGCAGTTGAGCATCATCATCATTTTAGCCTTTTTCCAATTAATTGGGGTCGGCTACATGAATCTTGGTTCTCCCAATTGAGTATCATGACCATTATTTGGTGAATTTGGAAAGAGCATAATAGTCTTTTTTTTTTTGGGATTAAATGATATGTGATTTAGTGCTCAGGGAGAAGATTTGGGATATGGAGATCTATTAGGTTTTGCTTCAACCAGAATTTCGAGGTTTTAAGGTCATTAACTTGGTCGCGGATTGTAAGATTTTGCCTTTTACTAAATGCCCGCCCTTCAACCCAAGACAGTTTGGATTGCTCGGGTGGAGAGCACTTATCATCATCATCATCATCATCCAAGCCTTATCTTAATTATTGGCGATAGGTTACATGAATCATATTCCTCCATTCTTCTCTATCAAGGGCCATACCCTCAATAAGACCAAAAGTCATCATATCTTCTCACTACTTCTATCCATGTCCTTTTAGGCCTTCCCTTTGCCCTTTAGAGCCTTCTACTTGAACCAGATCGCACTTCTTAACCGGTGTTGTATTAGGTAACGCTGCACATGGTCAGCCCACCTAAGTCTATTTTCCCTCATTTTATCGCTTATTGAAGCCACACCTAAGTTCCCTCGTATGGATTTATTCTGAATTCTATCCTCTCTTGTGGCAACACTCATCCATCTCAAGTTTTCAACATCCTCATCTCAACTACAGTCATCCTATAGAGAGCACCATGAAGTTAAAATTTTCATTGATATTCATGGGGTAATCCAAGACCGGCAAGTGTGGGTGGGATTCTTAGAGATGAAGAAGGCTGCTTAAAAGTTATTTCAGTGGGACATGTGGTTCTACATTAGTGAAGGCTTGTGCATTGCTTATAGGAGTCTGCCCATTCCAACTAATGACTAGATTAGGTGTAGAAGAGGATTATCTCAATGCCGTTAGTTGGTCCCTAAAGAGTCCTCTATTCCATGGAGGATGGGGTCTTTGACATTTGAGACACTAAGAATATGACATTTTTGAGTGATACCCTTGCCAATAAAGGGGTTCTTCAAGAATAGCTCATGTTGACACAATTTCAGTGTTGGAATTCTGAGATGTTGCTGTCATATCCCTTGACCTTTGTTTTATGCTTTTGAGCTTCTTTGTAACTTTATTCTAGAAAACCGACCGTCATAAAAGACGTGAAGGTTTGTTTGAGAAACTGTAGTCATATTAACTTACTTAAATTTCGAAAATTATTATTTTCATTTCAAATTTGCATTGGAAGGTATGATAACATGCGGGTATCTTTGATGAACTCCAATTTGAATGTATGCAAGACATTTGACGTGCAACATGTCTAATAAAAATAGCCATCAACTAGAAAGGGAGCAGTGTAGGAATATGTCCGTCTTCATACTAGTTTGCAGTCATTGTTTAGGAAGCTGACAGCTTTAGCTATTTGGTGCAGTCCCCATGCATAATATTCATCCCTGTCAACAAGCAACATACACCCTGCGTTAACTTAATATGCATTTAAAAAAAGTAATGAATGACTACTTGCTAAAAATTGGAAATGAGTGATTTCACAAAAGTAAAAGACAAACAAAATTGTAAAATAAATGTCGTCTATCTCATTTAAATCATCATGCAAATGATGATAAAGAAAAAGGAAAATATTATTAAAATGGTCATACCAACTCAAAAAATCAATAAGGTTGTCAAATCAACCAATTTATCAACAAAGTAGCCACTTATAGATAACTTCATTTGAATACTTCCTCAACCACTTTTAGAAAAGCCTAATGTCAAATAACCATAATGGCCCCTCTTGTTATAGATTCCAAACCCAGAACAAGTAATTTTAACAAAAAAAGGGGGGGGCTAAATGGCCAAATGACATACACCCCTGCTTGGTCCACGTTCCAAACCAGGAAGAAGGGATTTTAATGGAAAACAGATGTTCAGGTTTTGGAACCAGGAACAAGCAAGGGAATTCGTGGCATTTAACTCAAGGCACCCAAGTGGCGCCCAATTAACAAATGCCCTTGCTTGTTCAAGATTCCAGACCTAGAATAGGGGCATTTAAGCATCATCTAACAAAATAGTTAAGGAGTTAAGTGAATCAAATGGTCTTTTTAAAGTGACCACTTTGTTGATAAATTGGTTGATTTAATCACCTCAATGATTTTTGAGGTGGTTTGATCATTTTAATTCTCCTAAAGAAAAGCAAGGCTAGAATTATGCAAAAAATGGGACAGGGTAGCTAGACTGGCCCAAGCAAGGATTTTGCTTTCCATTAATTATGACCATGAAAAAGTATAGCAACAAACAATCACCTAATTCAGACCAGGTCCAAAAAGGAGAGAGTAAAGACGACCAAAAAAAATAAAATCTGGGCAGACCACTCCAATATCATTAAATATTCAGAGGGGATCTACATGTATATACCTCTGTGTACCTTCCAAACCTAGCTCCTTTATCTTTTCAGCAAGTGGCATAACAGGCTCAGTTACAATATAAATGGTAGGTTTAATATGAGATGCATCTCCAGCTTCAACTTCTGTACTATAAAGAAATGACAAGATATTTGGATGCCTAACCTGCAAGAAGCATAGAGCAAGGTTCATATTACCAGCCTTAATTTCGGTTCACTAAAACTGAATCTCAGAATTAAGCCAAAATATCAGCTAAAGGTTTTATGAGATGATGGCCGTGATGATGATGATGATGCTCAAATATTGAATAAGCCAAAAGCCCTACCTAAAGTGGCTAAAATTTGTCCAACAATTACTCAAATTCATCACAAATCAGTGATCAGGGAGTATGAGCATACTAGGACAAACGAAATAAACATCAACACCCACTCTTATCCAGATTAAACCAGACACTGTTAATTTTTTCAGCATGAGAAGAGACCCAACCGGTACAAACCTCTGAACCACAAGGATTTTCATCCAAAAATCACATCTCTAATGAGTAATCAGCAACACTTCAGTGTTTAATCGTGACAAACACCAAAACACTTGGGCCTCTAACTCCTCAAGTGCCAGCAAATATCCCCATACAAACAGGACTGCAGAGTTCATAAATGCATTCCTAGACACCACCATCATGAGAGCCTCCACAACATGGAGGACCAATATCTACCTAATATAATTATAAAGTTCAAGTACACTTCAAAGAATGACAGGATACATATATACAACAAACTTCAGATATGTGTCAAACAAAAAACATTAAAAGAAGCTACAATGCAAGTTCGGTAAATCAAATAGCCGAGTATACAATGAAACCACATGTATGCAGAATATAACATCAGCATTTATTTATTTTCTAGTGCTCAAATATCTCACCGTGCGTAGCCGTTTGACACCATTACGACCTGCTGCCAAGTGGCCATCTTGAGCATTAGTTCCCGAAAGAGCAAATATGGACACTGAGGTCCCATCCTCCTGTTGAAAGATACCAAGAAAAATATAAGGGAAATAACACAACCATCTCAAAGAGAGGAATCAACAATTTATGCACACCCAATCTGATCTCCATCTTTGAGCAACAAGTGATATCTATGAAGCATAAAGCTCTAAACTTAAACATCTTTCCAACAATATTTGCAAGTACACACGTGTGCATAGCACGCACAGACGCACCCACGATACCCGACTGTGATAAAAACTTTAAACATCCAATTTACCATATTGGGGTAAAAATTTAATGCTTGTAGTGGACTATCATTCAGATTCGCAATATGGTAAAAGTTTAATGCTTGTAGTGGACTATCATTCAGATTCCAGAATACAATCCACAAAAGAGTTATTGTAAGTAAAAATAGGGATAATCCCATTATTGTTCTTTTTATTAATGCTAACAACTGTGGAAGGAAACAAACAATTATATCATGCTAGAGCAAGAAATGGAGCTCTCAAGAAGAGAGCCAAAAGTCCCATCTATGTTGCATGGATTCTTCACTCCAGGCTCCATACCATTGTGACATGGCTGGACACCGGTACAGCATGGACATGGCTAGATTCTCCATTCTGAAGAATCATGAAAATAGGATCATTGAGAAATGTGGAGATATGGGATCCGACACTTCTGGATTCTTCTCATGGATTAGGATTTTTCTCCCAAAAGAATCATGTGTAATATCCTATTTTAAAACTTTGTGTTCTAATATTATCTTTTTTTAAATCCTAAACATGGAGAATGGGTAAGCATCTCAAACATCGAGTTCATAAATCCTAAGATCTCCTACCTATACCACAGCCATACTTGTGAGCTCCTCACTTTAACTTCGTTGATTTCTTGAATCCCTGTTGGTTCTAGTATGACTACATGTGCATTGGAATTTCGCAATTCTTATGCAGAAGTACACACATGTTGCAAAGTAGCATTTTGACTTCTCAATCAATCATGCTTGTCATCTTGTTGTGCGCACACACACACACAAAAGCACGCAGGCACAGACACACGAACACGAACACAAACACACACACATATATAGAGCTAAATCATACTATTTACAGCTCAAAGAATCTGATACCTCAGTACCGTGTCTAACACTGACGTCTGTAACGATACCCATTCAGCATAGAGTTAATTATCTTAGTAGTTAGCAATTGGCCATGTGCCATCCAGTGTAATCAAAACCATAAAAGTTTTCATCCACTCCTTCTTGAACTCCTGAAGGTAGAAGGTGAAGCATTTAAAGAGGTCAGGTGGACAGTGGACATGGGCAATACCCCTGAAGAATAGCCAATACTATGAATAAGATTTCTTGCCTAGATAGATGACATATTCAATAGGAAGAAAGAAGTTACCATATCCCATATCCTCCCTCGTTCTCAAAGAGGAAAAGGGTGAAACAGATTCCACAGCCAAGGACGGGACGAGGGGGAAGTCTCCCTCCCTCCCTCCCTCTTGCTTCAACACCCCCCCCAAACCCCCTCCCCCTCCAGCACCCCAAAAACAAATTCTTGTCCGGTCTTCCCCTAGTTGCTCCAAGCAACTCAAACATGGTATGCCTTTTAAATGTCATCTTTCTTCCCTCCTTCCTCCCCCCCAACTCCAACGTCAAATAAACATAATAATAATCATCATCTGAAGAAGAGTGTGAATGGCTCCCCCATATCATTTATGCTGCCATATCAGACAGCGACGCCCATGACAGTATCCAAAATCCAAATGCCAAAATTCTACTAACCTCGCTTTTCTTGAAAAGAAGTTCTAATCATCCTCTTCAACAGCTCCTCCCTTATCATATTTATCTAGATGGGCGCAAAAGTTGAAAATCTCTAGAGACAACAATCTTTCACCAAAGACATAGTCCCCAAAATTATCTTCAGCAGATGTTCAAACCTTGCCCTCCATGGTGCTTCTCTCTGTTTTGATCCTTCTAAGATTTGCAAGTTGCAATCCTCATCCCTTCCGCATTATCAATCCTAGATCAAGCCTTGCCCACACTAACGCCACACCTACACGATTATGTCAGTATCCTATTTTCTCTTCTCATCTCTAGAAACCTCACCCCCTTTCGATTATCCTTAAACAAATTTCTAGTCTCCTCCTTTCCCAACCTGGGTTTAATGTTACAAAGACATATATATGCGTATTAGAGTCGAACAAGGTTAAAAGTACCCATCCAAATTTGATCTTTACGAGCATCACAAACACCCAACCCAAAATTGGTCTTTTAAACTAGACACATCCACGCACCATTTAGAAGAAGGGGAACAGGGGCTGTCAAGTGATATTAAGTAGTTTCAACATGAAATTTAACAAAAATTGGTTATGCAAAATTTTCCTAGTTTCTGAAGTGTCAAACATGGGTGTCATATCCTTGACTTGTCAACCATAGCCCAAAAACCAGGAATGCTCATGTCCAAGTCCCAAAGAGTACTAGAAACCACCTCTTTAACTTTGAACAACACTCCTTCCAAAATCACAATCCCTAAAAATTACCTGCCTTTACCGTTCTATAACATAAAAAATGCTAGATGAATGGAGAAAAGTTATTGTGGTACCTATTTACAAGAACAAATGAGACATACAGAATTGTACAAACTATCGAGGGATCAAACTTATGGAACATTATGAAATTGTGGGAGAGAGTGATTCAGCAACAACTAAGGCATGAAATGAGTACATCAGAAAACCAATTCGGTTTTATGCCATGAAGGTCAACAACTGAGGGTATTTTCCTACTTAGTCAACTGATTGAGAAGTTTAGGGTGAAGGAAAATGACCTCCATGATCCTTATTTATTTAGAGAAAGACTACGATAGAGTACCTCAAGATTAGATTTGGTGGGTGTTAGAAAAGAAATGAGTCTCCAGATACTACATCGACTTGGTGAGAGATATGTACGAGGACGCGTTAACTAGTGCACGAGCAACTAGTGGAGAGACGAATGAGTTTTCAGTGATAACAGGTCTACATCAAGAGTCAGCATTAAGCCCTTACCTCTTTATTTAAGTTATAGATGACTTAGGCACATACAAGATAAGGTACCATGGTGCATATTGTTCACGAATGATATAGTTTTGATCAATGAGACCCGAAATGGTGTCAACACAAAGGCAGAACATTGGAGGGACGCTCTAGAATCTAAAGGTTTTAAAATTAGCCGAACTAGTACAGAGTATATCGAATGCAAGTTTAGTAATTATAAGAGCAGAGACAAGGAAATAGTTAATATTGAAGGTCGAGAAATACCAAAAAAATGCACTTTCGATATATTAGGTCGATAATCTAGGAAAATGGAGAGATTGAAAAATATATCTTTCGTAGAATTGGAGCTAGGTAAGCGAAGTGGAGATGGGCAACTAGAGTTTTATGTGATTGCCATATACCAATGAAGTTGAGGGACACGTTCTATAGGACAGCTATGAGACCAACTTTGCTTTATGGGGCGGAATGTTGGGCGGCCAATAACAACATAACCATAGAATGAGTATAGCTGAGATAAAGATGCTGAGATGGATAAGTGGCAAGACAAGTAGGGATAGAATTCGGAATGAATACATTCGGGAGAATTTAGATGTGGCACCAATAGGGTATAAGATGCGAGAAAGTAGACTTAGGTAGATTGGCCACGTGTTGCACAGACCCAGTATAGTTCCTGTTAAGAGGTGCAAGTTAGTTTAAGTAAAAAGCTCAAAAAAGACAAGGAGTAGGCCTAAAAGGATGGCTGAAAATAACGAGAAAAGATATGGGGACTTATGGACTCACTGAGGGTATAGCCCTTAATACAGTAGAATGGCGAACCAGGATTTGTACAACCGAGTCCAATTAGTTAGGTAAAAGCTCTGACAATGATAATGATGGTGATGACCCTTCTGAAACCAACAAACTCCAACAATTAGGTTACCTTACCGTTGCCATGACCCTGATTCCCAAGTATGTAAGGAGCATGTTTTAATGGACCAATCATAATTCAACTTCAACAAAAGAAACCCACTCCCATACAAGCCGCATACTTCCATTAGCCTCAAATGGACCACTTCCCTATGTTTTCCATTTGTCTTCTGTACTAGTTACCACTTTTAGTGGCTCCGCATCCTGAAATTCAATGAAGTGATCTTCTCACATGATTCATAATTCACCAAATTCCCTAATTTCTAAATATTTCCCCAGATTATCTACATGCAAAAATCCAAGTTGAACTTAACAAAATTGGTCAACCAGCCAAAAGGGAAAAAATATCCTCCATGTCCCGGAAATGGATTTAAAATACACTAATTACTCAGGTTCCTCTCTTCTCCATTTCTTCCCAATCCTGAAATTCCCTAACAGACTAATGTTGTCAACTACAATTTACTGAGCTGAAACTTCTCCAACCTCCAACTAGAAACGTCTCAAAATTTTGTGATGAAATTTCATGATTACTGAGCTTATAAGCCCTTCAATCAAAAGCTAAACATACATAATTCATGATTATAAAGGGCTTATGTGCTTCAAATTTTTTTCATACTTTTATCAACTTGGATATAATTTGACATGTCAGTTGCTAAACTGAAATTTCCAAATGTAAGCTCTAAGATTGTAAACTATCAAGCATCTTCAAAAAAAAAAAAACATAAAAATCAATCACGGACATATTTCAAAATTAAATGATATCGAGTGAACAGTTAAAATTCGAAAACGACTTTTGGATTTGTCTTCTTCTTTTTTTAAGTTTCAACCTTGGGAACCTAAAGCTCAAACCCAAGCATTTAAACTCGCAATTTTAAAATGAAAATTTTACTACTTGAGCCTGAGTTTGATCGACTTGGTTAAAACAATCACATTGTCCACAATTCTAGTAATTCTTGATCCAATTATTCAAAGCCCAAATGTCTTTGAAACCCTATAAAAACAAATCACTCAAAAGGGTATAATCACTGATCCCAGAACCAAAAAATAATACTCAAATAGTAGCAGCTAATGAAATTTTGAAATTAAGTAACTCTTCTCACAAAATTATTCATACACGATTTATTTATAGAACAAATTAGAGAGCAATGGAGCAAAAAAAATGGAACAAAAGATGAATTTGATTGCATACCTTAGATGTTCCTCGATAGTGGATCCATGAGCCCCATGCTGAAGAATAAGGCTCCCCAATGTTGTAAGGAAGATCCTTGATACCAGCTCCAGATCCAGCCACTACAGTTTTAATGAATTTGAACATTTTTTATGGCTTGTAGGCTCTGATCTAGAGAGGCAAATCGAAGAATTAACAGTTACGCCTGAGATAGAGAGACGTACACAGGAGAGAGAGAGAGGCAGTGCTACATATTTGAGAGAGAAAACATTCTGTTCAGAGAGTGATCCAATTTTTCTACATAAATAAGAAGGTTCCCACTTTTGCTCGGAGAGAGAGAGAGATTTTTTTCCAATTTTTCTACTCAAATAATCAAAGATTCGCAATTAATCCCTCCAAATTTTGGCATTAATAACACAGTTTGGGAAAATAAATCATAGTCACGCGAGATCACAAACACATTGCCTCCCGCCCAAAGGCACTTCCCACAAATTATGGAATGGTTCGGTGAGTCAGCGGACTCCTTGTAGATGTGCGGCCCCTTTTAAAATTCTAGGTTTTTTGACAAGTAAATGTGGATATTTGGGCCCGGCCTTTGGCCTTTTTGGTGAGAATAGTCCAATACCTCACCGTTGGCTCAACAATACTATCACTTTGGTTAGTAAATGTTGTAAGTCAATGGAAATTTGGGCTCGACCTTTTTGGTGATAATAGAATTCAATACTTCACGATGAGGCTAGACGATACTACCATCAAAACCTCATGGCATTTTCAAAAAATGATAATCATTTTAGTAAGATAGAGTCACCATGGGCTCGACAATACTACCACCAAAGCCTCAAGGCATTTCAAAAAATGATAATCATTCTGGTAATAATGGAGTCAGTAGATCTTACCGTTGAGCAAAACAATGCAACTACGAAAGCCTTTTTTTTTAGTTCTTCTTTTGATAATAGAGGAAAAGTTTAATGTCAATGGTGTAAGAGCCGCTTACCCAATAGAGGAAATGTTGTATGTCAATCAAAGCAGGTGCACGAGCCGCTGACCCAAAAGAGTCCATCATTAAGATGGACGGTGTAAAATAAATACACAAAAAAATATTTTTTAATTTTTAAATATTTATGTTAAGATTCATGATCTAGATGATGAATCCCCCAAATCCATCTTTAAGGTGCACTCCAAAGAGAGAACTCACAAGTACATATGAGTCGGCTAACTTATAGTAACCCATCCTGATTTTAGATTTAAAATTTTAGAACTTGTCCATTAGAATTTTAAATTTTAAAAATAAAAATTTTATATTTTCACTGTCCATTTTGAAGTATCGTGGAAATTCCATTTTTTATGTCTATCTCTAAGGTCGGTATGTGATGAGGAGACGTACATGTTTTTGGTGCAAAACTATGTCCTTAAATGATTCCAATAAGTTTTATAAGGGTGTGGTTTCTATAAGGTAGGTTTCAACCTTAAGCAATTTAATTAATGCATACCTCCACATTTTAACCTAATATGTATTTTTGGTGTAAAAAGCTTTTCAGATTATTTAAAATCTATTTTTGTGTCTAATTATGAAGTTTTAATAATATTACAATTCATTACATTTTATATTGTGAAATGACAATTTTCCACTGAGACCATATCAAACTCTCTCTATTCACATACCTTCAATAATTTCATTGAAATGTAACATAATTTTATCAAAATATATAACATATATGTCCATTTTTATTCATAATTAATTTTCTTTTAATTTTCTTTTAATTTTATTTTTTAAAAAATATTAAAAATATGTTATTAGCTTGCTATGCCCAAACTAGACAAACCTACCGGAGTGGCTTCTTAACCAAGTTGGCTTGGAACCGAGTGGGTTACTAGTCCAGAGTATAATTAGCAAGTCAGAAACTATCAATAAATCAGCTCACCATAAAATCGAAAACATATCATTTTAATTTTTAAAAACTCAGGTGAAAAAATCTGATAAAAAATACGGATCGATAAAAATACTTTATATAAAGATATCGCTAATATATAGGATTAGGCTAAAAAAATCGGACTAAAAAAATTGAATAAATTTATAATATTAGAAATTTTGAAATTCTAAAAAATAAAAATTATGTCAAAGCCATAAATAATTAATTAATTCATAAAAAATTTACTAAACTAATATAATTAAGTCAATTAATTTAGATGCTCTAATCCAATCATCCAATATTAAATCAAAAATTAACTACTATATACCAAAAAACTGTACCATATAAATCCATCATTAAATACTTTAAAAACCATCACATTTACTTATTACATACCAAAAACAAATATATTATATAAATTTATTTATTAAATACTTTAACTATAGTATAGTGACAAATATATTATATAAATTTATTCATGAAATACTTAAACATTAAGAGGTAAAAAAAAAAAAAATACACCATTTTTGTTTTCTCGTTACAATGATTTGTGACTATGGTCACTCCATAACGTGAACATAACTAGGTTAAAGTTTTATAAATTTCTTCAATTGAAAAGAGGCTCGCAGTAATTGGGTTCACATCTGTGTTTACGGTTTAGAGAGAGAAGGAAGAGGGCTGGGCTCATAGCCATTAGAGTTTACAGAGATAGAAGGAAGAAGGCGAAGGCTGGGCTCATAGCCATTCACAGAGAGAGAAGAAGGAAGAAGGCGGTTTAGAGAGATAAGAAGGAAGAACGAAGAGGGCTGGGCTCATAGCCATTAAGGTTTATAGAGAGAAGAAGGAAGAAGGAAGAAGGAAGAAGGAAGAAGGAAGAGGTTATCGGCTTCATAAACCCTAATGGAAGAGGCCCTAGTTGATTTTTAGAGAGAGAAAAGGAAGATGGGATACTGATTTGGGATAGTTTGAAGAGGATTTTTCTCTCTGATTTGAGAGAAAGCCCTAACTATACTGATTTGTGAAGAGGCCTTAATTGAGTTTTACCGAGAGATAAGGTAGAGGTTTTTTTCATTTTCTAGGGGAAACAACGAGCAGAGCTGGAAACCTAATCCTCTATGTACAATTTCTTGCTCCTGTAAGTTTACAGTTTACACTATATTGTTTATCTTTGTTATCACATAATTAAAAACAAAATATTGATTACTTGGTCCTGTAGTTACACTCTCTGCTTGTCATTCATCAGTAAAAGACTATGTTTTGAGCTCTAATTTGTGCCATAAACAGTATTTTCATAAAAACAATTATCACAAATAATCACAGAAATCTGCATGTATATGATTTTCTTTACACAATGATTTACTTTACGAAATGATTTGTTATAAACAGTAGTGCAATTGCTTGCTCCTGTAAGTTTATAGTTTACACTATATTGTTTATCTTTGTTAATAAAAAACAAAATATTGATTACTTGGTCCTGTAGTCACACTCTCTGCTTCTCATTCATCAATAAAAGAGTATGTGTTGAGCTTTAATTTGTGCCATAAACAGTATTTTCATAAAAACAATTATCACAAATAATCACAGAAATCTGCATGTATATGATTTACTTTACACAATGATTTGCTGTAAACAGTATTTCATTTACACAATGATTTTCCATAATAACAACTGAAATCTGCATCTATTTGTTTAAGTTAAAAAGAAAAGGGAAAAAAAATTCTTACCTTCAATCTGCAACTGTGGCTTTGAAGAACACGGTGGTGATAAAAATTTCTATTTTAGGTTTAGTTTTTTTTGAAATAATTTTTTTTTTTCAAAAGCATGAAAGTAGCAATGGCTGCAATACGCAAAACAGGAAAAAATAATAATTTATCTTTCAAAAAAAATTATAGGTAAAAAAAGATACATTTTTTGGCCTGATTTAAATCGTATTATGAAAAAAACGCATTTTAAACGTTTTTATGAAAACTACGCGATTTTTTCCCGACCTTTTAAAAAAGTCACCGTTTAAAACGGTTTCCATAAAAACACGATTTTTTTAGAAAATCGTCGATTAATCGGCGATTCGCTAACTATGGTTTAGAGTGACACTCAATCCGGTTTATTAAACAATTAAGGGTGCAGTTCGTATAGAGCCGAGGCTCTAAACAATCAAAGTAATGCGCACCTTCAAATAGTGTCAAGGAATATGGTTTCAATTCTGTAGATCTTTGTAATAGCCTTACAATATATTTTTATCACTGCTTATAAAATTTTAAGCTTAAAAAGCAGTTTAGATCGAGCAGATCTATGAAAACTTAAACAACTTGAAAATTGGCAGTCCAACAATGTATTACAAGATGTATTATTTTCAAAACTTGAAATCCTTTTTTTTTCTCATGTCCATACATCTTGATGTCGAGAAGATCAATTTGAAGATATTTGGATATCAAAACAACCTCTTATGGAGAAATTTTTCTAATTTGATTTTTTAGTGCCTCGCACTCATATAAACCTTTTCAGAACCAATTAAACACCATAAAAATTAAAAAGTAAAAACGAATCCAGTGTTTTCATGTTGGTTTTGGAGCTAGCCCTCTCATCTTCGAAAGGTACGCTCCTCTCTCTCTCTCTCTCTCTCTCTCTCTCTCTCTCTCTCTCTCTCATATGCCTACTTTTTCACAGTGGAATCCTGTCTGCACATCATGATCATTATCATCGTCCGAGTTTTATTCCAATTATTTGGAGTCTGCCACGTGAATTGTGTTATGCCGTTCGGCTCAATGTTTTTCATGATTTCCTGCTTTCACTGTATTTTTATTCACATGCCATTGAATTTTTTATTTTTATGTTTATTGCTACTTGGTTTTATATTCGGAGCTCTTCTTTCTTCTCTGTTTTGTTAAATATATAAAAGGATTTTATGTAAAGTGCTTATGTTTACTGATTTTGTGAACTGGGAATATGCTTATCTTTACTGATTTTGTGACTTGTATCCATATTAAATTTTGGGCTTTGACTGTTCTGTCTATTTTTTATTTTGTTCATAGGTTTTTTTGGCAGATTTTGGTGAAATTCAGCTGTAAAATTTTGATATTCGGTTGCTCGCAATTCAGCCAAAAACCCTAGCCCTAACCCTATAAGACCTTGTTTATGGCGGATTCTAGTGACCCTATGCCCACTGAACCAGGTGGCCTTTCAATCGAATGACATACTGTTTCCCCTACCTTTCTATAAATGTATTTTTCTCAAGTAATTGTGATACTTATGGTTTTTATTTTTTTTGGATTTTTTTTGCAGTATGTAGTTTTTTTAGAAAACCAACAAAGAACAAGAATATAAGAAAGCGAAATTTAGAAGAGAATGATTCAGAGGGGGAAGATGAATCTCCATCTGTGTCTTTGAACCACAAAGTACCTAAGAAACCAGACAACAAGCTGTTCTTCTCGACTGTCGGCCCTTCCAGAGTTCCTTCAGAAACCCTAGAACAAGCTCCATCCTCGAAAGCAACTGTCTTTCACTTTGAATCCTCAAAGGAGATACAGGTCGAACACGATAGCCGAGCAACTGCAACACTTGAAACAGAAACTGATTTCTCAAACGACGCCCGAGCCATTAGAGAGAGGATCCTTAAACAAGAAGAGGAAAGACTCAGAGGTAATAAACGAGATGAGAAACTTTACCAAGGAATTCATGGGTACACAGATTACAAGGCTGGTTTTCGGCGAGAACACACAGTCGCCTCTGAGAAAGCAGGGGGAGCTCATGGTCCACTTAGGGCTCCAGTGAACTACAGGGCATCCGCTCGTTTCGACTACCAGCCTGATATATGCAAGGATTATAAGGAGACAGGTTATTGTGGGTTTGGAGATGCTTGCAAATTTATGCATGACAGGGGAGATTATAAGAGCGGCTGGCAAATGGAGAGAGAGTGGGAGGAGGCAGAGAAAGAGAGGAAGAGGAGGTTGGCAATGGGTGGAGGAGACGACGAAACAGGTGGAAGAGATGGGCATGAGAGTGACGATGAAGATGATTCTTTGCCTTTTGCTTGTTTTATATGTAGAGAAAGGTTCAAGGAGCCAGTTGTAACCAAGTGCAAGCACTACTTCTGTGCTTGTTGCGCAATAGAGGTATAATTATGTTAACTCTTCATTTTGCCATAAATTTTGTAATCATTTATCAACATACATATCACTACAAACCATACCCATTGGAGATCCTGCAATTCAATTAAACTGATTTTTCCTTTGTTCAAGATGTCATATTTTTTAATCTTGTACTTCTATATCTGGATTTTTCTGCCTAAGGTTTTGGGTTACCAATTCCTTTTTGGCTTGAAAAATCTTATTAAAAAGAAGACCGAAGAAATTGGATAAGATACCACAGTAGAAACATAGATAATAGCTTATGAGCAGAAAAAGGTGGGCATCTGATAATGTCAAGTTTTCATGCATGGTTTTGTTTGTCTGAATATGGAAAGGCTGTTTTTCTCACTACTTGCCTCTCTTTTTTTTTTTATCTCTAGTGTACCATTTTTCAGTTTATTGTCTGCAGTTTATTTTCTGAAACTGGCTTATCTTCCAGATAGGAAATCCTTATTTTGTGTGGTGGTTGAATTATTGTGTTTTAAAATTTTGTAGATGCAAACAGATTGTTTGATGCCTTTAAATCCCTTTTGTTCATTTTCTAACTCTGTGGCTTGTTTCTTCTGGATCAGCATCATAAAAAAAACAAGAAGTGCTTTGTCTGTGACAAACCAACGCTTGGCATATTCAACACGGCTCATGAGATCAAGAAAAAGATGGCAGAGGAAAAATGAGAACTTCATATTCTGCTCTTCTATAACCGTTGGAGATAAAATATGAGCTTTAGGTATGTACTATGTAATGAGATTGTTATGTTTTAATAGAAGATAGAACCCTTTTTACGAAAGTTATGTAAAGACATTAAACACTGAGATGATGTTGTGAATGAGGCCAATTTGATTAAATTAGACGTTTATAAGGTTTAAAGAGCGCCATTGAATCGTACTCATTGTCTATTGGGAAGCTGGCAATTTGGCAGATTCTGTAGTGTTAGTGTGGTAAGGGAAACTTGAGTGCTTGGACCTCAGTCCTGGTGGGCATTAATGCTATCCTTAAAAGGCTGCCAGTGATTAAAATAAAGGTGATTTTGGTATGGGAAGTCTAACCTAGGAACTGGTTGGCTGTCTTCTGCCAACTTTTGAATGGTCCCCCTTTCCTACTGAGTGGATCTTTTAATCAACGGCTTTGCTTATCGGATGGTCAGGGACTAAGGGGGCTCCCTGCCAATCTATCTGATGGTGGGATTGGGACTTTCCACCATTTCATCTAGGGGGAACTGCCTGCCTGTTCACAGCCCTTAAAATAGATTGTAAAAGAACTTTGTTCATATGAAGTTTTAAAGAAAATTTTCATTTAAAATATTCTATGTTAGGATTTGGGATATCCGTATGTTCTGAAAAAGTTCCTTACCTCTGTATATTCTGAAAAAGTTTCTTAATAAACTATCTTAACTTCACATGTTTCTGAAATGATCTCTTATTGATTTGTATGTATGAAGGCATCACATGGCCATTTTTGAACCCTCATCACTGTTTGAACTTTACGTTCATTTGACATGAGTTCTGTATGCTGCCACATATGCTCTTTGATTGATATGTATTCTAAAAGTGGGTATGTAGATGAAGCTCTCATGGTTTTCAATAGCATCTCTTATAGAGACATGGCCATATATAATGTCATGATTGATGGTATTTTCAGCAGGGCTTAACTGAAGAAGGTGGCAATCTTTTTGGGAAAATGCAATTGTTGGGCATGAGACCAGATGGGTTTTCTCGCTCTATACTTCTTGGTGGGTTTTCCATGGTTTTATCATTGGAAACCCAATGTCCGGGTGACCCATTTTTGGGGACTAATTTAATGGGCTTACTTTATTTTGTGATTTGAATCGAAAACTGCAACAAATCTTTTTCATGAAGTGCCCAAGAAGAACTGGGTTTCAAGGAAAATTACAATTGGAGGTTTAGCACAAAATAGCAGGTCAGATAAGAGCTTAGAGATGTTAAAGATGATGATGATGAGAGAATCAAACTGAGTTCAGAGGTTTTTTCGAGTATCTTGAGGCCCCGCTCAAATTGTGAGGACTTGATCTCTGGTGCAGCACTCCATTGTTGCGTTATAAAGCATGGTCTTTGCTCCGATCCTTATATCTATCACTCTCTCCCTTTCTCTCTCTCTCTCATAAACATGTATGGAAAATTTTCTCAGATGGAGAAATCATGGCTGGTTTCCAATGGAACTTCTCTAAAAGAATTGGCTTCATGGGCTCCATGATTTCTTTGTGTATTTATAATAAACTTGGCAAAAAGGCATTGAAGTTATATAAACTGATGAAATTTAGTGGGGCAAAGCCATATTATTGTAGTCTATCTAATGCATTATGAGCCTGTAATTTAATGAGCTTCTTAGAGCACAGGAGTAATTTAATGTGTTTCTTAGAGCACAAGAGAGTGGACTGAATACTGCTCAGCTGACCAAGCATTCCAATAGTTGAAAGTTTGAGGAAACCATGATAATTTCAAACATAAATTTACTCAAAGGATTTAACAGCTTGGGGTGCTATAATTTAGTGCTTTAAATTTGATGAGGGAGATGGAATTATCAGCACTTAAAGCCTGATTCTGCTAATTTGGCGACAATTCTTTCAGGTTTCGCAAGTCTGGAGGCTCTAGAATTGGGTACCTAGGTCTATGCTTATATGATAAAAAACAGTATATTTTTTTTCTAACTGGCATTATAGATGTACACCAAATGTGTATTACCTTTGGTTTTCAAACATGAAGTAAAGTACCCCAGCTGCCCAGCTGCTTAGAATGCAATAACAATTCGAGGATTTTACCAGAATTGCTTGCTGGAATAATCGATTGCGCTGTTTACGATTATGGTTCAACAGGGTTTAGAGCCTGAGTCTATTTCTACGGCAACTGTTATTCCTGCAACTGCACGTGTAGCTGCTCTAAAACATGGGAAAGCCATCCACTAGTGGATATAAAATTGGACATGGGTTTTGGTCAGAAATGGGGCCTTGATTGAGATGTATATCGAATGTGGGAGCTTAAGTGCAGGAAGAATGGTGTTTTCGTAAAATCTCTTGGAGAGTGTTTGATGACTTGAACCAAGGACAGAGAGAGAGTACTGGAAAAAGCATCAGAAAGAGAGGAGATAGAAACTTGTGAAACAGAGAGAAAGCTACTCAGTGAAATTACTTAGAGAGTTAGAAATCCATGATGACGAAATCTCTGTCTATCAAAAAGAGAGGAAACATTTGACGAAACACCGCAAGGAGTTTTGATTGCTTGGAACGCCAGGATTTCAGGTGAAGGATCACTTGGCAAATGCAAGGAAGCCCTGGAGCTCTTTGAAGAGATTCAAAGTGAGACTGGATGAGGTCATTTTTTTGGAGTTGATCTGAGCTTGAAGCCATTGTGGCCTAGTCGAGAAACGGCTAGAGCTTTTCCACATCATGAGCAAAAAATACGGAACCGGCCCAAAAATGGAGTATTACGCATACCTATTGACATTTTATCAAGGGTAGGACAACTTGAAGAAGCTCACGAGCATGCCTGTTCAGTCTCATTCATTGGGCGTCTTTTGCTTCGTTCATGTAAATTTTTGCAATTTAAGGCTCCGATGATCGGCTGGAAAGGCTTTGATAGAAATGGAGCCAAATCGAACCAACCATTATGTTCAAATATTTATGCAGAGGCTGGGATGAGGGAGCAGTGGACCTTAGAAGCGTAACGCAAGAGGGGGTTGGGGAAGAGTGCAGGGTGCAGTTGGATCGAGGCGAAGAACAGGATGTATCTGTTCGTTTCGATGAATGTGTATCATTATGAGATTCGAGGCATACGGTGCACCGGAGGGGCTCGCAAGGCATATGGACGAGGACGGCACCTGCCTGTGGTTGCATGACATAGAGATATAGAGAGATTAGTGAAAAATGCCATGGTACCAATTCATTGCCCACCGCTCCATTGTATGAAGATCTTGATCCGATTTTTTGAGAGAGAAAGAGAGTGAGCTTCTGAAGACTATCGCAACAACACAGACTCATTGCTCCATTATATGAAGAACTCGATCCGAGTTTGGTAGCCAGAGAGATTACGCTGAAGAAGACTATAACAACAAATCATAGGCCCCCTGCTATATTGGACAAATAACTAAAGGGAAAAGTTTGTATAGAGCCGAGACTCTAAACAATCACATTCGAACCGCCCTAAAAACTGTCACTCGACGAGATTGTTTTGATGTCCAAAAATACTTAAATCAATCATCTCAACATCGAGATGCATGGACAAGCGAAAAAAAATTGATTTCAAGTTTTGGAAATAATGTATTTTGGAATGCATTTTTTGACTGTCAATTTTCAAGATTTTCATAGATCTGTCGATCTACACCATTTTTTAAGCTTTAAACTTTATAAATAAAGATGGAAAGTATATTTTAAGACTATCACAAAGATTTTCAGTGTTGGAACCACATTTCTCGACACTAGTTAAAAATAGGCTTTAATTTGATTGTTTAGAGCCTAGGTTCTATACAAACCACACCCATAACTAAAAAGTTTTGGAGGATTCGAGTTTGGGTTTATTTGGTTTGCGGTTGATATTTGCAATGCTACATGTCAAGTGCAATTCTTACTCAAAGATCCTTGAACGGCAAACTTACTGGATTCATATGGTTAACAATATTGATAAGATTTTCTGGGAGCATAAAAATTCATCTTACGAAAGGCCCAATTCCAGATCTGTGTCCCACTTAGGCGCTTGTACATTATTCGAGGTCCTGAATATTTAACTATCCCTTAAAAATCTCTCTCCCACTTAATTATGAGTCCGTTATACTCGATTCACCGCCCCGACACCGATCCCATACATAAAGTACCAAATGTTGTCTAGGCTTCTGGACTTCATTTGAGTTCGATAACTGCTTATGCTATGCAACCAATTACACACCGTGCTGCATTATGCGACACGCAAAAAATGAGATTGTGTCCCAAGCCACGACACGGTGCCACCATCCTAGCGTTGATTGTCGACACAGTGACACCATCGCATTATTGATGGTCGACACAATACCACCATCTCATCATTGATTATCACACTGTGACGTATCTCCAATGCCCACCATTGTATTTGACGGTGGAAATGATTCAATAGTATACACACTATGTCTAGTACTAGCTTGGACAGGAAATGATTCAATAGGCTACACATTATGTCTGGTACTAGCTTGGACACAATCTGGCATCTCAAACTAGTACAGGACCAAAGTAAATGTGGTTGGACCCTTATCGGACTGCACATCCTGTGTAATTTGAACTATAGGTTCTTAAGATGTGTGGTTTGCATAAGGTCGCAACCTTAAACATAAAAGGTGCACCTCCAAACTTTATCATGAGATACAATTTTGGTGTAGAAAATTCTTAAGATGGTGGAGAATTTATTTTAATTTTTAATTATAAAATTTTAAACTCCAAAAGTGGTTCAAATCAAGCAGATATATAAAATCATGAATATCTTGAAAATAGACGGTCTAGATAACGTGTTACGAGATGTCTCATTTTCATGGCTTGAAATCTCTTTTTTTCTCTATATCTATACATCTCGATGTCAAGATATTCAATTAGATGTATTCCCAACATCAAAACCAACGTGTTAAAAATCACTACTCCATATCGGAATTGACCGATTCGAATAAAAAAAATCCTTGAAGCCAATCCGGTTCCCTCCATATATCGAGAACCGGTCGTATCTCTAACATGGTCGGTTGGATTTAGCAGAAACCGGCCGAATCCGTTATCCATAATTGGCCAGTTCTAGTCTGATCCAGTTTGAACAAGGTGGGTAAGCGTTTTTCTAAGAAAACTTTTTTTGCAAGTTTACTTTGATATTCTTGTTAAAAGGAGGAGCAACAACCCAGATGCTAGTTTTTATCTCAAAATATCACCTTCACATAGGCCCCACCAACCAAGCATACATCATAAGCAAGTTGCTTTGTTTTTCCTTGACAATCGAAGTGTCATGTGACAAATTAAAAAATCCTCAACCTTTGAATTCAACAAACGCTAATCCTACGAAGGAAAATAAAAGCATAAAGCCATACAACATTTATATATGGAAAAGTATACAATGAGATCATTTACTTTTGTACAAGATGGTTATAATAGTCGACCGACTTACCATAATATCATTCGCTTTCCACGAATGGCCCACCTCCTCCCATCCCATCCTAGATTTAGGGTTTTACATCATCATTGTTGTTAAGCTTATTAGCTTAAATTAATATGGTTGCTTACACCGCCATATCACCTCAACAGCAAGCAATATCACCATCCTCTGTTGGGTTTATGTGGCCTTTAAAGGCCTTATGAGTGCTTGTAAAATGAATGATATAGTGAAACATAAAATCCGTGGGAGTGTGATCCCTCGTGAACCATACTAAACAAACGATATTTACATATACCGGACTGTGCTTGACGATCTAGGCAAGTCGGTTGGGAAAAACCCATATTAACTGGGCATAAAAAACAAATCGAGAAGGGTTCTAATGGGTTAACCCTTGATGAGGTCGGAGAATATGCCCGGATGAGTGAGCCGAGAGACTGTGTGACCCTTATGTGTGATGGTAGCCTACTGAGACGGGAGCCAAAACCTCATCCATGTTTCATCACACGGCATGCATATTGATAGATCATTTGGAAAAGCCATATATCCACCTTTGGGTGAAGCGTATGCATGTGCGAGAGACACCCCTATGTGCTATAGAGCTATTGTCGCATCAGGTCGTGGTGACCTTGACTCGTCTCTAGGGGAGGACTTGTAATCCACAGACTGGGATTGTGACCCCTTGATTCATCAACCTAACTTTAGTGACCTACTAATGAGCCCCTGCTTGGACTGTGGGTCATGGAAAACACTAAGTCGGTTCGATAAAGCTAGTGTGGTTTGTAGTCCACAATTGAAGGTGGAGTACCCCATTATTACAGATTGGATTCTTAAAATCATATAGATCTTTTTCCCATCATATTAATTTAATTGTGTTCATTTTATTATTGAAATGATTTTTAGTTTTATTATTTGAATTTTTATGAATCTCTCAATATTTTATTTGTGTATTTTTTAGGTACTTATAAAAATACAGTTTATTGTT